GCTCATTTCTATCAATAAAGAATTTAATGCAGGCAGGATTGATCTATTAGCCATTTTCAAATTGAAGCTAGGTTTTTATGGACTTCTAAGATTTTGCTCTTCAATGAGATTACAAATGTTTTAATACTTCTGGACAAAAGAAGGAAATGCAGTGTTTTGTCAGTGAATCATGAATCATTCACTGACTCATCTGGAAACAGAATTCTCCATTAAGAAGTATGTACCAGGGGCTTCCCTGGTGGCGCAGTGGTTGAGAGTCTGCCTGCCGATGCAGCAGACACGGGTTCGTGCCCCGGTCCGGGAAGATCCCACATGCCGCGGAGCGGCTGGGCCCGTGAGCCATGGCCGCTGAGCCTGGGCGTCTGGAGCCTGTGCTCTGCAACGGGAAAGGCCACAGCAGTGAGAGGCCCGTGTACCGCAAAAAAGAAAAAAGTATGTACCAGAACAGGTCCAGAGACAGAATGGTTGTCACACATGCTGACAATAATAATTCTAGCTTTTGCGTTTTGGTAGCCTACTAAGTGCCAAGCAATGAACAAGATGCTTTTGTTTATGGCCTCATCAATTCTCTCCATAATAACTCTCCACAGTAAGCGTATAATCACTCTGGGGTAAAATGGTAGGAATTTTTCTGACTACACTCCAAAAAGAGGTTTTACACTTCCAGTTGTTCATCACAGTCTAACATCCAACTTTGTTTCTAATAGTTAAAGTGTTTACAGCACCAAGAAGTTTATACTTTAACGTTTCAAACCCACAGGTTAACCGTAACACTTTGCTCTCTATGAGCAAAGACTGCCATCTTGTGGAAGTTTCACATATAACAAAAACAATCATTACATGGAACTAGAATTTTTCTTTGTACGTGTTAAGAATTTTGCAGCTAGCTTTTTGCATTGTTACACACACACACACACCAGTGTTGCTTATAAATTAAAAGGCAAATCTTTCCTTTAAGTGCAATTAAGTCTCTTTTAAACATGCCAGAGCTTCTGAACCTTTGAAAAAAGAATCTCATTAATTATAAGGACTCATCCCATTATTCTTTAAGGCAGTGAATTAGATTTTGCTAAACTTTCTTTATCTAAACCTTAAATAGATTTTTTATATAATAAAAAGGGGGGTGTAGTAAGACCTTTCTGATGGAATTTCCAAGGAGCTTTAGATTGTGTGGTGAAAGTTTATAGCAGAGCTCTGCGCTTAGAGAACACTTTCATTTCCTTCCAACCCTTGTATTCCATGCCAGCCTGGGTTCCCGGAATTTGTTGTGGGCTAGTCAGAGTCTGACTGAGGAATCCTATGGCCCAATTTCTTTGTATTGATATATCCCCAAAGATGAGGTCTCCTGCAGTACCTCAGTCACCTGTGCTTCATGAGATCGACCATATAAAGACATCTTTGTGACATGATGATACTTGAAAGCACATAGAGAACTCTCTTTTCTTTTTCCCCTCAAAAACTCCTACCACCATCTGAACCTAAAAATTTACAATTAAACACATTCTTTGGCCCTTTACCATTTACGGCCTTTGGCCATTTAAGGCCCTTTACTCCTATGAGAATCAAAATGGGTGACACAGAGTATGTGTACTTCAATGATTATTTTTAAAACCAAATTATTTTCCAGGTGTAGAAATAATAAGGACACATCGTAAGTGGTACCAGATACGACCGAGAAGAGAGAGTAAGCAATAATTGTTTCCTGAATGAACATGTGAACTAACGAAAGAATAAATTAGCATGAATTGAGGGTATTGAAATGATTTCAGTGTTGCCCAGGCCATTCTGGCTGGACGTACAGTTGTGGTTTAACATAAATTTTGTACCCAAGGAAATACCTTACATGAAACCACTCTTTAGATGTTTACTGAATGAATAGATGAATAGGAGGGAATGCAATAAATAAGAAAATAGCATAATGATAAGAAAAAAGTAGAATGTGAGGGTAGAGTTCCTTTACCAAAAACTGTATTGAGCATATTAATATGTGGCTGCTCTGTGTTCGGAAGCATGGAAGATAATGAGAACATATTCTAGAAAGGGAAACAGACATTCATCAAGTAACCACAGATAGTCATAAATGATGAGTGCAATGAAGAAAAACTCTTCGACTTCCACAGACAGTGACCAATATAGTGTGGCAAGAATAGGAGGACAGGGAAATTTGGGAGCTCATTTTGTGCCCAGATATATTCTCATTTAGAAGATGCTTCTGTAGTCTCCTTTTATTTTTACATGTACCTATAAATTCAGATTTAAGAAGAATTCTTTCTTTTGGGGGTGACTATATTTTTTCTTTCAGGATATTCAGTGGTGCCCTGACTATCTAGATCTTTAGGGAGGCAAATACCTACAGGGTTGGTTTCCTAATGTTATCTGAATGGTATTCATGGATAAGCCAAGCAAGCGACTTTGATGCTGTGATGACGTATGTGTGTGATGGTGCCACACATGCCCACGAGGAGTTGCTCCTTTTGGCTCAAGGCACTATTTCTCAAGTGTATTCCTCAAAATTTTAGCTCCATGGGTTATTAATGTATGTTCTTTGGGGAGAAAAACAAGGAAAGGGGAATGAAAGACTAATTTGGGAAATGCTGACTCAAACAATCATACAAATTTTCTTTTCCACAGGTCTTCTCAAAGCCTTTAATAGGCTGCCTTTTTTTTGTAAATTTCCAAGAGGGTGTTTCTCAAAGTTGATGACCACAGGACCCTTTTTTTGCAGAAGCCCTCTGTACTAGTGTCCCTTGGAACACACTTCTGGAAATGCAAATGACTTTATCTGGATAGGGCTGGGATAAGGGTGAAATGTAATCTGTTAATATTCATCATCATTTTAGTAAAGTCAGTTAATCAAATTTACTGCCCTTTCTGAACAACACACTGAAGGAACAGAACTTTAGACCAATCAATTTCATGAGAAAGACATCCAAGTTGTGGTGGAGGCTCCAGTGCACTGTTAGTCCTGGAATGTCAGCAGGGGGCGCTAGGGCTGAGGCTGCGGGAATACCCAGAGGTAGATGACAGGGACATGTCAAAAAGAGAAAGGCAAATATCATGATCTCTCTCATATGCGGAATCAAAAAAAAAAAAGATACAAAGGAACTTATTTACAAAAGAGAAACAACTCACAGACTTAGAGAACGAACTTATGGTTACGAGGGGAAAGGGGCAGGGGGGATAGATTGGGAGTTTGGGACTGACATGTACACACTGCTATATTTAAAACAGTTAACGAACAAGGACCTACTGTATAGCACAGGGAACTCTGCTCAATACTCTGTAATAACCTAAATAGGAAAGAAATTTGAAAAAGAATAGATCCATGCATATGTATAACTGAATCACTTTGCTGCACACCTGAAACTAACACAACGTTATAAATCAACTATGCTCCAATATCAAATAAAAGTTAAAGACTAACTCCCCATCATAGCCCCTAGGGCTAGTATACTCTCGTTTAACTCTGGTTGAATGTCGATTATCATTGAACTCATAGACACGTGGATGACATGAAACCAGTAAAAAAGGTAGATTCATCACTGAAAGTGAGTTATTTACTCCTTCCAGGTAGGCTTAGTTCTCCCCTATAAAGTTTTAAGCAGTCTCTCCCTAAATAATCCAAGCGCCGGGGCAAGAGTGCACATACGGGTCCACATATCCTAAGTGTAACTGTGTAAAACTTGTAAATCGAGCTAAACATTGTTAGATAAAATATGTTCTCTCCTCTTCTCTTGACAAGTATACCTTCATGACCCCAAGGGAGCCAGGTCTGAGTCTCTAACTGGTGACCAGCTAGGAGTTCTGCATTGACCCAGTGGCACTGGGAGTCAGCCTTCCACCTCCGGCTCTGTCCACACAGTGAGGGTCTCGCACACAGAGGTGTGCGCGCCTGAGCTTGCATGTCGAGTTGTCCACACCCCCCAAACCCCACCCTAGAGACCTGTGTACACCCATGGCTGTGAGATCTGCTCTCAGAAATCACACACAGGAATAGGCTTTTATGAGTCCTGGATGGGCAGGCACTCTGAGCTGTCTGGCCAGGAAGTCCTAGGGAACCATGGGGATGGTGTGCACTCTGGACAGGCTCACGACCTTGGCCCTGACCATTCTGGCTATGTGAGAAAGGGCACAGCTGGAGGAGGGCCAAAACCAGGCAGGTCTTAGGTAGAGCCCAAGAGTGTTCGGAACTGAGAATAAAACCTCTATGAAAATCATACGTTTTAAAAGCTGCAGTCTTTGCAGTTATCCCCAGACCCTGGGAGTGAATAAAAGAAGGTATTTCTTATGTGAATGTGACCACTTCTGAAAGCCTCTGGTCAACTTTTCTTCTTGTTCTCCAAGGTAAGATTATTTCCCCTTTGGCATTAAAAGGAAACTAGATCAGTTGTGTGAAAAGCCCAAAACGATGTATTTTATCAACTTCAAACTTGTCCCAAGGCTTTCTTCCACACTGTGTTAAATAATAGAAGTCTTTTTAATTGAATTTCTTTGTGTGTAGCATATGCTGGGCGACATTATGCCAGCATCTCGCTCTAAGCAGCAAAACGTTCTTCATAAAAGCATTAAGATCCAGAGCGTCGTTCTGCATGTAGGGAAGGAACACAGAACTGCAGCAGCTTGAAACCACATAAAAACAGTGCCTCTGAAATGTAATTGTAAAATCACGTTGCAGGAAACCGGGGTTGAGGGTAATATTTAGGATTACAGAATGAAACAAAATAAATAAATAAAAATAGAAGAGGTGGGGGAAGACGAAAGGGAAGCAGGGAGGGAGGGATGTAAGAAAGGAGGGAGGACGGCATCGTGGCACAAGTCTGTCTGAAGAATCACTGCAATAATGTTCTGTGTGTCCTCGCATTCCACCTGCAGGCTAATCTCTATATTCATTTCCTCTTGACATCCACCGTCCTTCAGAGACAGGGTTATTAATGGATATGTTGTGGACTGAGGCAATACCTATGTCTGTAATAACACATGGTTGTGTGCTTTACCCCAAGGATCCTGGAGCTTCAGCAGAGTGGTGACATGGACATCCTGAAGCACAAATGGTGGCCCAAGAACGGCCAGTGTGACCTGTACTCCTCAGTGGACACGAAGCAGAAAGGAGGTGCCCTGGACATAAAGAGCTTTGCAGGGGTTTTTTGCATCCTGGCTGCGGGGATCGTCCTCTCCTGCTTTATAGCCATGCTGGAGACGTGGTGGAACAAGAGGAAAGGCTCCAGGGTCCCATCAAAAGAGGTACTTGACTGAAAGCTTCAGCGCCATGTTGAGCCCACAAGTAGGCTGTGCTTCCAGAGAGGTTAATCACAGGGAAGGGGATAATGGGTTGGGGGTGGTCTTTGTTTCTTCTTTCCTTGAAGAGTGAAAGTAAATCTGTGAAATGTAAAAATTGGTAAGACCAGTACCAATTTTCATTTTAAGACATCCCAGATCCATGAAGAGGAGACAATCGTGTTTGAAAGACTTGACAATTTCATGAGCCATAATGGGCCTTGAAATTCTCCCAAATCTCAGGATAGACCTTAAGTCCATGATTTTTTTAAGGGCTGTGATTCCCTTGACCAGTTCACAAGGATGCTTATCACGTTAGTTCGAATAGTTGTTTAACTTATAGGTAGATTACTTGTGTCTCTGAGATTCGGCCTAAGAAATGCAGTGTTACAGTAAAATAATGAGTTTTCTCTTCACCCCCAGGGACTGCTTCCCTCTGTCTGTATGTAGACCTATGGAAGTGATCATATGTTTTTATAGCTCTTTAATGGCTCTAGGCTTAACAAATCCACACGGTGGAATCTTCTAGAATTCCATAGTCCTCCTTTTCTCACGAGTCAGCTTAACTCCAGGGCCATATTAACATTTTTCCAGAGCTTTGAAAGAATAATTTCAGAGTTACATATATCTTTTAAAGTGCCCTGTGCCTTATTTTCATCCAGAAAAAAAAAATGCGTGTTTATCAGAGACTATCTGAAGTTAAAAATAAACTACTTGATTTATCTTATTTCCATTGGACCAAAAAGGTGAAAAATTTTTTATATAATGAAATCATATTCACTAAAGCTTCACAGATTGAAACAAAAACAACCTGAATTTGCTGAATGATTTGACTTTCTAGATAGTTTCAAAGAACAGCTTTGAACTTTCTGTAACTAGACCTTGGCTAACTGATGCCTAAGCAAATCCTGAGAGGATCTGCTTTACAGCACAAATAAAAATGACTTCTCATTTGCATATGAGTTATTGCATGCTAATGTATTCTTTCAAACAGATTGTTTTCTAAAGTTGTCTGAGGATCCTTTCCTACCACCTTACATGCAAAATTGATCAGCATCATTGATAAGGAAAAGCTTGGCTTAGCGAAGAGAAATCTTAGCTTCCTGCCTGTCTGAGTGATCATACAGTCTAAATTAGTGGAGTATAAACTAAAAATCAATCAGGTTTTATTGTAGTGGTTTTTTTTAATGGAATAAACTTCTGGTATCTCTACTGACATTGACTCAATGCAAAAGACCACATTAATGCAACATTATAGCCGAGGCTTCCTATTCTCAAAAATCTGGAAATTAAGGACTCCCCAAGCTCCTTACATTTGAATTACTATATATGATATTAAATTTTTGCATTATTATATCTGTTGATGGATGACTATATTATAGTTGCTGTGGGAACCATAACATTTTATCTTTCAACCCTCTAACATCTCAGTGATAATATTGCATTAATGGATATTTTTATTGGATTTTGAAATGAGAAAGGAGAAGGAAGAAAAGTGATGCACATCAAAATATTTTTCACTAAGGAGCACTATAATTGCACAATGAAAAAAATACATCCTCCATTCTAATTCATAGCAGCTAATCCAGATCGTATGAACAAATATTTTCTCCTCTTATGACGAATAGATATTTTTAAATCCTCATAAATTTAATTTATTGAACTTGGTGATAAATAAGACTGATGAAAAGGACAATTTTCTTGCCTGCCACTTTTATTTTTCAAATATTGGGCTTTAATGCTCACTTCTAGTGAAAATCCTAAGGGATTTACGAATTAGTTTCAACTCCAGAAATCTAAGGTGTTATACTCTTTTTCTTCATTAAGCACCTTCTTACTAAGACTCTATTAGTGTAGCTCAAAGCGTCTTTGATTCAGAGGCCATTTAGCATTAACGTGGCCCTAAACTGAAGCTGTCACTCACACGTCATGGCTTGAAGGGGTCTCTAAAGGCTCTCGTGCTGACCTTACAGTATTGCCTCATTCAGGTACTAGATAGCTTGAGTGTATGAAGTCCCTCAATCAGAAACTGATTCTCTTGTGTTGAATGTTGCTCTCTGTAAACAATCTCACATATTTCTAGCCTAAAGAGAAATAACACTTTAACAGTCACTAACACTTTAGTGTGAACTAGCATATCAGATAATCTTGTATCACTTAATCTCCAAGAATGGAAAGTTAAGGTTAGGAGCAAGTAGTGAAAGGAGCAAGTAGTCAAAGGAACAAAAACACAACTTGGAATGAGACACCCTGAAAAAGGAGGAAGCATGCATAAAGAAGAGGTGGGGAGGGGATGCGTGGCCAAAACCATACTTACTATGTGTATAATTTTGCCTGGGTCTGTCTCTGCTCTTGTAGAAGGCAATCACCCATCTAATTCTCCCATATTTTGTAGTTGCATGTGGCATATGCTCCTTTTAGAACTTTTATTGCAAGAAAAGTATAGATAACCTTATCTCAGAATCCTATTGGTACCCCCAGAACCTAGCACAGTGCCTGGCTCATATTAGGTGCTCAATAAATATTCGTTAAATGAATAAACCCCAAAGTTCAGTTCATTTACCTATCATGTTTGCTGAACTACTTTTTTTTTTTTTTTTAACCATGAAGCTAGTACTGATGAGAACCTTATCTTCTTTTTCTTCATCTCCAGGATGACAAGGAAATTGACCTGGAGCACCTCCATAGACGTGTAAATAGCTTGTGCACAGATGACGACAGCCCCCATAAACAGTTTTCCACCTCGTCAATTGACTTGACCCCTCTGGACATTGACACTTTGCCAACACGACAAGCACTGGAGCAAATCAGTGATTTCAGGAACACTCATATTACCACAACAACCTTTATCCCAGAGCAGATCCAGACTCTTAGCCGTACACTGTCCGCTAAAGCTGCCTCTGGTTTCGCTTTTGGCAACGTGCCTGAGCACCGAACTGGCCCTTTTAGGCACAGGGCACCTAATGGGGGCTTTTTCAGGAGTCCTATAAAAACAATGTCATCTATTCCTTATCAACCAACTCCTACCCTGGGGCTCAATCTGGGTAATGATCCAGACCGAGGCACCTCCATATGAGCACCCAACAAAATCTCTTCACTGTTTCTTTTGTAGGACTCCCTTTGCAAGGAGCGACTGTAATATTGTGGGACTAACATGGATGTAACATTTTTTTTTTTTTAATCAGGAGTATTAGTAACAATTCTAGTTCTTTCTCTCTACCTTCTCTCTCCTCTGTTTCTTTCTCTCTTTTCTTCCTGGACATTTCTCTCCACTTTTTTCATTACTCAATTGATTCCCCCAGAAGGTAGTATACTAGGATCCTATTAGTCCGCTTTTCATATACTGTACTTCAAGTATAGGAAACGTGCACTGAGTATACTAACAGTATATGCAGGATTAATTTTACATAAAGGCCTCTTCTGTAACATTTCTCTATTTTTAAAAGTATAATTGCAATAACGTCAGTCTTTTTACATTCTCCTGCTGCATCCATACCATGCTCCACTGCTGCTGAGTGTCCTTTAACTGTGGGCCAAAGGCAACCCCTGCAGTGTTTATAGAATAATCTAAAGACCATTCAGGCCACATAATATGAGAATGCAATTTTGTAGGATTACAAACAAGCCATTAATATGCCAGTCAAGACTACAGTTAAAACTACTCTTGCACTGCAACAGTGCATATGACCTTTATGCGATTGTACAGTATGAAAAGTGTTTTCTTATGTACAGTAAACTTTATCATACGGCAGCAGCCTCTACGGTGTTAAACTAGTATCTCATATATACATATATATGCACCTATATAATGTGTATATATATTCAAAGGAGGCCATTGCTATTGCAATTCATTTAATAAAGCTTTAGTTTAAAACACAAGTGTTGTATACAGGAACTATGTATAGTGCAGGGGGTCTTTTCAGTTAGAAAAGGCAGGTTGCTTTAATGTTATTCTGACTCGCATTGTTTGCCAACAGAGAATATTTTATACTTTTGTTATTAAAACATCCGGGGCGACTTAATATTTGTTCCTAGATGTAACTCATTTGAATAGATTTTTGCATTTGTTATTCAGCAGTGTATAAAGCTAACCTTGATAATTTTACTTTTAATTAATTATCTAAATGGAAACTGCTATTAGCTGAACCATGTCCACCACAGCACGGGGAGCTCTATACGAGTTTAAACGTAGATCATGGAAGGTTAATAAATTCTCTTCCAAAGCAGTAAGCCAATCAATACAGCTGTAGTTGGGGAGAGACGGGAGCCCTTAAGAAATATTGATGTGGCCTTAATTACTGTCATACATTACCCTAAAGAAGAAAATACAGCAACCATACTGGGCTCTCAACTTCAGCCCCTTTTTTTATTCAGTTCTATTTGGAGGAGTTATGTGTTTTTTACATTAGTGCCAAGTGTATAGAAGGATAACAACAAAAACAGTGCCTCTTTGTGCACAACCCTTTTTAAGGTAGCCTTCTTACCTGTTGGAAATGTAGAATGAACTTTGTTTGTAATCCTTAAATTAAAATGTGGTAAGTAGGAAGCAAGAACTTATCCTGTGTTTTTACGCAGCCATACACTTATTTTAATCGAATTCTTTCCGTGGCTAGGATTGGTATAGGAATCAACCTATGTGATTTGCTTTAGGAGAAATTAAAAAGTATATTCTTAAGGTATATTATACTTTGATGCTAATTCTGTTCTGGGAAGCATCTTGTCCTGTCACTGTTTTTGTACTAAATCTTCAAATATTGTCTACTGTGTAAGGCAGAAAAATTTCTTATCATGCAAAAACCATTTTGTTTCCAGGGTAACAAGTATCTAAGTGCATGCACAACTTGTTCTCCCTTGTAACATTCATGATCTCATTCACGACTCTGATTTTAAGACAAAAAGTCTTTTCAACAAGCTATATAGGGACATACCAGATGTTGCAGTGATTTTAGCTATCAACAAACTGTTAACCATGTACAATATTTAAAATAGGCCTATTTTGATGTATTGCCTATTATACAAATACACAAACCACTTTTTGGAGGCCTCAGTTACGAGTGGCAGAGCTTTCTGTGTATAATTTGTCTAAATAATTTGTCTAATAAAAATGTTTTCTAAACTTGCTCTCATACCATTGAAGTCTTAACTATACAATTTGAAAATGCTTACTCTCTCACGGATAGAACTGACTTTTTCTAAAAATTTATCTTGAATTAATTAAAGCATAAAACACATTAAGTTTTACTAGCAGAACGATGCCATGATGAGCGGCTCTCTAAAAACAGTAGCAAGTGATGTTCTAAACCGATGAAAGACTGCCTTTCTGCTATTTGAGACAGTTTGAACCAACGATACGTCTGTTTTCCTTTTTTGGGAAAGATTTATCCTGTTTCATGTAAACAATGCAGCCATTATAATAATAGCAGGATGAGCGTTTGTTACATTTTACAAAAAGAAAATTAAGGGTAATTATTAAACTTAGAATTGTGTATTAATAATTGCTTTGCTGTTGGCAAAATATCATGCTGAATCTATTAATTTGGAAATTAACTGACTCCAAGATTATTTCTAATAGAGTGTTATTTACTGCATTTGAACAATATTTAATTCTTCTAGCATTTAACTCACTCAGTGAATATATATCTGAAAATATATTCAATTTAGATTAAATTTCTGCTTTTCTATAATTCCATTAAAATGATTTTTAAACGTTGGATAGGAGGAAGTGTAGAGATCTAGACTATCATCTCCCTCATTTTACAAATAAGAGAACATAAGATGCTAAGAAGCTGTGACTCGCGCAAATGTTTGACAATCTGAGACTTAACACTGAGTCTTCTTTTTAAAACTCTACCATGCTTCAGTCACATCCACGCAGGTCCTAATGGGTTGTGAATTCACTGCAGAGATGGCTCAAGTACAATGCCTCCACCCACTCCTCTCTCGCCAAGTTTAGGCTGCAAATCTCTAGAACCGTCCTTCCTCATGGGGGACCAGTTAGAGCATCTGATTCAACTGCTCCTTTTACAGATGGGAAAGTGAACACCTCAAGCTACGTCAGGTCACAGCTAGTGGCAGAATTCAGGCCGTCCTGCTTCTGCCTGGCGCTCCTTCCTTTAGCCCATTGTTTGCCCTGGTTCTCACCACTTACACCAACCTTGCTATTTCAGAACAAGACAAACCCCTTATGTCCACGAACGTTTATTCCAGTCAGAGGTCGAACTTATTCCCCTGGTGAATTGTTAAGAGAACTGGTTTTCACGTTCAGCCACATCAGAACTTATGCACAGCTTTGGTTTCATCATACATTAGAAAACTGTAAGAACGTCTTTCTTCCTCATACACAGCAAGCTACAGGCAATTTGTTGTTTCCTCAATTATGTTATTTTTCATCTCTCTCAGTTTGGGACTGGTTGTCAACTGAATAAATACTTTAAAAAATAGACTTTGCTGAATGGTACTTTGCTTCATCAATTAGAAAAAAAAGATGAGACAATCCATTTATCCTACATAATACCTTCTAAGCCACACCACTGGATAACAAATTATAAATATTCTGTAATCGGAATTTTGGAATGGTGGAACACATGCTGGATTATGGATATAATAAATAAAGCAGCGCTAATAACTTTTGTGCTGGTAAACATAGGTTTTTAACCTTAAATACACATCTCATAATTGATAAAACACAGTGGGCTCACTAGAAATGGGCTTCCTTCTAGAGTGTTTTTATTTCTAAAAACAAATCCTTTATCCAGTCCTTGTGGTCAGATGTTAATAAATGGCTAGCCATTATGACATTTTATAAAATCATTTCAACAAATTTTAGTAAACACCCTCTCACGAGGTAGCATATATGAGCTCCCCTGTGTGGAAATGACTTAACCTGACATTGAAAAATTAGGAGATAAAGCTTTTTAGATTTGATAGATTTAATTCAGTTCTATTAGTGTTTACTGAAAACCTATTATGTAAAGCCACGGTGCTAAGCAGTTACACATCACATAAATGAAGACATACATTTGGGAATGGGTCTGCATGTGTTCTACCACCCAGGCCTTTCCTTGTCCCTCATCAACATGCAGGATACAGAGACCACCTTACAGACTTTCTGAGGTGGCAGAATTAGTCACCCCAAAACAGTACCATCCTCTTTGGGCCTGGGCAATCCAACTGACCGGACCAATCCATCCTGGTAGTTCTCATGAGCTGACTGAGTCTACCTTCCTAGATTCAGATTCCTTCCACAAACAAGACCTGAAAATCTCCCAAAATGCCAGACCATGAGACCAAAGTTTCAAAAATGTGAAAATCACCCCAAGCCACAGGCAAACCGCTACCTGACCCCTTCTCATCCACACCTGCATGCGTCCACATCAGAGTGACTCCTGCCCTCAGGTGTCCACCTCAGAACGATACACAACCATGTTCCCTCATTTTCTATCCCTGCAGGGCTCAGCCGTTGTGATGGTTAGAGCTATAGGGTTTCAAAAACCTTATTTCCAAGGGACCAAACACAGTAAGTCTTATTCAGGCTACTCTTCAACTTTCATAAACTTTTATTTGTATTGCAAATAAGGCTCCTAGTTACCATTCCTATCGTTTAAGACGGAGGATACAATGTGACCTAGGATCCCCACGAAAGTCAAGTGTTTTACAGGCTGCTCACCATGAGGACAGCTTCCAACCCACACACGCTTTCAGAAGAACAGAAACGACGTGGCTTTGCTCTATTTTATGGAGCTGCATAGAGGCATGGAGCAGCGACCCCACCTAATGATTCAGCCTACCGTGGGACAGAAACAGACCAAATGAGCTGCCTCTCATTTTCTCACCTGGCTTTTCCTAATTTCTGCTTTTTCAGTAGTGTTCATTTGTTTCCATGTAATATTAGTAACAAGGCAAAAATTGTTCAAACTTGAGAAAATTTTTCCTATCTAGGACCAAGTGTCATCTTTTGACTGATTTTGCCCATTTCTGGAGTTTCTTCTAGTGGAGACGAGAAACTGGCTGTTTCTTCTGCACATGTTACCTACGTTGTGCTATAGACGTAGCAGTCTAGCCTTTGTGAGGGATGAGGGCCTTTTTTCCTTTTGGAGAAACTCTATCCAGTCCAACCTCAGAATTGGCAGCATGTTCCAAGTCTCAAACTACCTGTGATATGATAGAAAATTCACAAACTTTTTAAGACAACATTAAGTTTCCTTAATTAAAAGCTAATTAAGCTTTAATAGCAGCTGCTTTAGAAGGAGAAGCAGATGTCACAAAATCAAAGTACAGTAAAATGTCAGAACCAGAGAATGGGCAGAAAACATTGCTTTCGATAAATATTTTGCCTGCCACAAGATTTGAAATATAAGTAGGAGGCAAACTTTAATTTTTAAAGTTGTTATGTTTTATTTTTATATTGGTGCTACTGAAAAATTTTAGGAATCAGCCTATATCTCTGGCTATTTTTAATTTTAAAAAAATTAAATATTTGCTTATTCACTGCACAAAAGGTTCATAATGGGGGGGGGCTTTGAGAATTATCCTAATGTGTAATAAAAAAAAAGGTTCAATTTGCAAAAATTTAAGTGATATAAAATGTTTCAGAATCACAGCCTCTTCATGAGGCAAGGGGTACCTATAGCTATTTCATACTAGGTAAATAAGGAGCTGATAGTCGATATTTAATTCCTCTTCAGAATTATATTAAAGTTGATCTTCAAGTTAATGCTAGCCTTCTATTAATATCTGTTTATATAAGTTGGCTATAAAACTTATTTTTAGAAATCAAAGCACTATAAAATTAAGTTGAAAATAAAGGTGTCACATGCCCAGCTGTCTAGTTTGACTTTTCCATTCTAAAAATAGTTATTAATACTTAATATGCTCAAATACTTCTATAGGTGATGTTAAAAAACATTTTGAACATTAGTTGTTAGATGAAGTAGAGCTGTGTCATATATCTAATTGACGTAATTGACATTAGATATCAAATGCAGAACTTTCATTCACACTTAATGGTTTTTAATGAATATAATACTTCTTTCTAAGTGAACATATTAAGAATAAAAATTAAAAAGCAGCAGTGCAGGGCTTCCCTGGTGGTGCAGTGGTTGAGAATCCGCCTGCCGAAGCAGGGGATGTGGGTTCGTGACCCGGCCTGGGAAGATCCCACATGCTGCGGAGCGGCTGGGCCCATGAGCCATGGCCGCTGAGCCTGTGCGTCCGGAGCCCGTGCTCCGCAAGGGGAGAGGTAAAAACAGTGAGAGGAAAAAAAAAAAAAAAAAAAAAAGAAGCAGTGCAGCAAGATAGACATGTAACTGGGCCTTCCAGATTTCAATTCTGCATAACTAAGCATCTTAAAACTTACTGCTCACTCTGATTTCTCCATGGAAATGTCATGGTAAAAATAATTGCCCGCCATCTGAGTAACTCTCACACGTGTAGTCTCCAAAGCTTTTGGTGTGTCCCGTTAACATGGTAAGTCCTATAATACTGCTCAATCACCAACAAAGAATATATTTTAATTCTTTCCTGTTCATCATCACTAAATGACCTTTTTAATTCTTACTCCATAATAATGATTTTGTGTCTCTTTTTAAAAAACGAATATTAGTACATAGATATAAACTTTAGTAAGGCTGCAGAGAGAATATTAGGAACAAAACAATCACACAAGATCCATCAGCCCGTTGACTAGCACTACCTGAGCACCTACTATGAGCGAGGCACCTAGGGCAGAGCTTTCCTAAGTAGCATGCCAAGGCACACTCCTGGGCCAGCAAGGGTTCCAGGGTGCTGAGTTACTGGTGGCCCCGTCAATCAGGGTGGTGGAGTGGGCCCCTGGGCTGGAGCTCTGCCCATGTTCTTGTCACTTACAGCCGGACTTTGCTAAGACAGCTTCCAAAGCCGGAGAGACAAAATATACACATTTGAAAAGCTGAATCAAGACTCACGGTTTAAGTAACATCAGAAGACAAGAATATGAAATATTATGATACACAGTACATTTAATTGTCAAATGAGTGCTATCGAGAAAATAGTCTATGAGAAGAGAAGAAGAATGAGGCTGCGTGGCTTGACATTGTTTCATGGAGTAAGTAGAAATTTAGCCTAATCATAGAGGAAAGG